CTTCTAGCTACACATTGTGAGCTGCTGCTGCTGTGAGGTAGTTTGCATGGCAGTGAAGCTCTGTGTACGGCAGATGACGGTGTGTGTATGCCTCCTTTCAATTCAATTCATTTTGCAGCCTTCCAAGATTCTGCTATATATTAATGATAAAAATCAATGCAAAGGTTCTTGTGGCTCCCTGATGGTCTGAGCCCTGTCAGCATAGTATCCCTCCTTGCTAACAACTGGTACTCACTCAGTACATATTTATTGAATGAAAAACAAGCAAAGAAACAAACAGAAAAAAGATATGAATATGCTATGCTGTTGCTTCTCTGAAAGGATTAAGAAATGCTTTAAAAATTTATTCTCCATTATCCTTCGCTCACTACCCACAGCCAACATTTGCAGCTGTGAGAAAAATGGAAGAGTTACTTCCCCTCATTTTCCATCTATTCCCAGCTCAGTTTATGACTACTCCTAACCAAATTGTATGAAGCAGGGATAATCAAACAAAAGGATACTATCAATTTGGGTGGGACAGAAAGAGGAAGGGGTTAGAGGGAGGGTCAGTGGGAGGAGTTAAGAGAAGAAAGCCAGGGGAGAAAATGTGATGAAATTCATTTTAATTAATAATGCATTACTTAAATTGAAGATAATACCTGAAAAGAAAAAAGTTGTCTAAAATAATATGTGAAATGGGGGATGAGCATGTATTTGACTGAGTCAATCTATTCACAAGAAGACACTGATTGTTTAAGATAAACTTACTGCCTGTGAGCTTACCAAGCCCAAATAACTTTAGGTTACCTCAAAATGCTGAATGAATGATGCACACATTCACTGACCTTTTCATTTTTCCTAAACAGCTCTGCAGAGCTAAGGATGGGCTAGTTCCTACTTTGCCAAAGCCACCTACTTTAAAAATTGTACTAGACCATAAAAGTTTGTGCTGGTGCTACTGATTCAAACTAGTTGACCTCACTATCAAGAACTTGGAAAATAACAGGTCTCTTTTATTCCTCTTTCTTTATCTACAGGTCATTTCTCTGTGTCCTTCTTTCTTATGACATTATGAATGCCCTTCCCTTAAACTCAGGGTTACCTTGAAGATATTTATAGACCTGGCTCTGATCCCTCTAAGGGAACTCATCAGTGTAGACTTTTCAAATTCAGCTTTTTGCATTTTCAAACTACATTTTCTAACATTTATTTTGGCAAAAAATAAAAAGTCAGCATCACAAAACAATGGCCTTGTGTGTGTGTGTGTGTGTGTGTGTGTGTGTGTGTGTGTGTGTATGTATGTGTGTGTGTGCATGCGTGTGTGTGTGTGTGTGCTTTAACTCTGTGGGTTTAAAAAAATAAAATCCCAGGAAAAGGGGGAAATGGCTTTGCTGTTTAATGTGCTTCCATAAGCAAGCATGTGGATTTGAGTTCTAAGACGAAGAGCTACATAAAATGTGGGCATTGTGGCACGCAGCAGTTAGACTGACATTGTGGATTTAGAGGCAGAACAACTGGTCTGTTGGTCAGTCATTCTGACTGAAGCAGCCAGCTCCAGGTTCACAGAAGGATGGACACTGTCTAAAAAGTAAATTATTAGGGAAGCTGACCAGCACGCATTTGTGCAGACAGAAGGATATCCACTCACACAAAAAGAAAATGACAAATATAAGAGAAACACAGTTATGGTAGTGGTTTTATCATTCACCTGGTTGCCATTTCCCCGATTTTGCCTTTCTACTACTTACATTGCTGCTGCTTGGAGGGGAACAGTACTGATTTGTTTTGCCTGTGCACTCTTCTGTGCACAAATTTATTAATGTCACTAGCTTTCTTAAGCTTTTCCATTATTTTTGCTTAAGATTTTTGAACCATTTTTATGAGTATGAGTATTAGCCCGAATGCACACGTGTTCACTACGTGCATACCCGATTTCTGCAGAGGTCAGGAGAGTGCATCAACTTCTGAGGAATAAGAACTATAGAGTTGTGAGCCACTACATGTTCACACTGGGAACCAAAGCTGAGTTTTCTGGAGCAACGAGTGCTCTTAACAGTTAAGCCATCTCTGCAGCAGCATGCTTGTCATATTTAAGGTGCTGTGGTTACTTTTTGCCAAAGTGAGTCTTGGACTGGCTGTCCAGTCATCATCAGCATAGTCAGTTTTACTTCATGGAAGGACTTCTGCCAAATGCAAACCTGAAACAGTTATTCTTTTATTTTAAGTTACTTTTGCTAGAATTGTTAAAATAATGCCCTTGTTAAAGTGAAACCAATATTCTTTTTCATCTCTGAAACTTGTTTTAAAGTAAGATCCTTTGTATACCATGAACATGTGGCCATTAATCGATTAAATGTTCAGTTATTTGACTATTTATAGACATTTATTAGTTCTATAAAATGAAACTATTTTGTTTATTATATTTTAATTATTCATTTATATTACAATATCAGATTTCTCTACTCCTAGTCCCTCCATTTCACAGCTCCTCCTGCAATTAATCTTCCATTTCTCCTCAGAGAAGGGGGAGCATAGCCCCCCTGTGTAACACACACACACACACACACACACACACACACACACACACACACCACATCAAGTCACTGAGGAATACACACCTCCTATCTCACTGAGTCTAGACAAGGCAGCCCGTTTAGAGGAATGGGATGTGCAGGCAACAGACTGGCAACAGATTCAGGGATATCCCCTGCTCCAGTTGTTAAAAGACCTGCATGAAGTCCAAACTGCACATCTACTTCTTAAATGCAGGGGACCTAGGTCCAGCTCAAACACACTATTTGGTTGGAGGATCTGTCCCTGGTAGCCCCCAGGTTAGTTGCTTCTGTTGGTTTTTCTGTCGAGTCCTTATCCTCTTAGGTTCTTCATTCCTTCTCCCAACTCTTCAGAAGACACCCGAGCTCCATCTAATGTTTGGCTGTGAGTCTGTTCATGCTTCCATAGGCTACTGGGTAGAGTTCTCAGAGGACAGTTAGCTAAGCTCCTATCTGCATGCATAACCTATTATTAATAATGTCAGGATTGGTTCTTGCCCATTGGATGAGCCTCAATTTGCAACCAGTCATTCCTTGGTCATTCTCTTTTTCTCTGCTTCTTTTCCCTACATATCTTGTAGGTAGGACAAAATTTTGGGCCCAAGATTTTATGGGAGGGTTGCTGTCGTTTTATCTACTATGGAAGTCCTGCATGACTAACTTTTTAAATGTCCTAGCATCTCAGAATTAGATGATTAAGAAATATTTTCATGTGTGATTTGTGTTTATGCTCATATCAATCATTTAAATGATTGATAAATCAAGATATAAATTTTAAAATGGAATTAATCGAAAATAAGTAAGAATAGCTGTAATGATTCAAGCTCATTTGCTCTAGACAGTCACATTATTCAGTCAAATATTCAAGTAGTTCATATATATATATATACATATATATATATATGTATATATATATGTAAAACAATGAATGCATACCTATGGAAATACATGCATATATATGTATGTAACAATACACACACACACACACACACATATATATATTCAAACAAACATACTTAAACATATGCATATACATCATATACATGCATGTCTTCAATCACAGTAGAAGTGGGATAGTGAAGAGTATATTGTTTTTTTACTTGCTTGAAGATGAGATAACAATCTTTTTTATCAAAGATCTGCACAGAACATAATGATTATTTATGCTTTCATTACTATTTCAATATCATCTTTATTTGAGAGAAATTTGCTTAACAGTTTTAAATTCATTCAGTGAATTACACTGTTCATATGTGTTATATTAGGTTTATAGTCCTAAATTTACTATTTATAAATCAGCTTTATGATTTAAAGGAGAATCTTGTATACAAAATTTGCTTTAAGTTTTCCAAGACCATCACTAAAAACAGCACATATTTCTTTTAAAGAGATATTGTTAAAAATAAAATAAAGCCAAAATATGAATATTTTAGCTTATAAAACTGTTAAATAATGTTTTATTACCTCAAAATTAATTATTTAAATCTGGCATGTATTATTAATAAAAATGAACATTTTAGCGTGGTTATTTATTTTTCATTTTTATCAATATAAGAAATTCATAGAAATTGTACAAAGGGTAAGGTCAATGTAACTAAGATGTGATTCAACACTAAAATTTGATTGCTGCCATGTCCTGTGGCAGCATCATCAGAATAATTTTATTATCATTTATTAGTTAATGTTACATCTTATAAAAAATTAAAAATAGGTTAAAATAATAAAAAAGAAATTAATCATAAAGCTTTTTTTCTCTATAGAAATCTGTGACTGAGGATGGAATTCATGTATGAGTTTGACAGCTGCACAGTCTTTATTTCTGGGTCCTCACTTGCCATCTAAAGCTATGAACAGCAAACTTTCTGATGTAGAATAAAAGCATATATCTTTGTGAACCAGTGAGTTCTCAGTTCCCTGCAAGGAGAATGAATTAAATACATACAGAGGGATAAATACAAGTCATAAAATGAGATGGAGAAATACATCATTTCAACAAGACAAGCAAATAGAGACATTTCTACTCATTACATCATGAATATGCAGTTGAGAAATCTCGTAGGTAATGGAGAATCACATAATTAACATTTAAGTATGTAATCAAAAGTGTTTATCAGCTATATTAAGCAATTATTTCCCATCGGTTCATGACTTAAATTATTATAACCAAATCACTTTATTTTTATATAGTTTTAAAATTGGCATCTTGAAAGCTTTTCAGTGCAGTTTTAGTGTTTTATTTGTATAGAGAACTTTTTTGGTAATCACTAAAGACAAGTGTTAAATTTTCTTATGTTAATGGTGTAGCTAATAGGTATCCCTCGTTTGTTTTTCCTGTGTTATCATGCAATAACGTTACAGCACATAGTATTTCTTGCCATTACATCCAGAAAAATCAGACTGTTTCACAAATCTGTGTAACTCTGATGAAATGCTATTCTGACAGGTTGTGCCTAAGAATTATTTTAGATACCTACATGGCAGGGAAGATACCAGGATAACAAAGTTAGTTTTTCCAGGACAATTGTTATCCACTGCACTCCAGATGTGATCACTCTGTAATTTTCCCTAATGTGGGAAACCTAACAGCATGATTTGTGAGAAGGGTAGACTGAGATCACTCTCTCCCCTAAGAAATGAACAGGAAAAAGACTTACTTTAAATGAAAAATTTTACATTTATATTTTTAGACAGAAGAGAATATGTACATTTTATTATATAGTATACAGATTGTTGTAGTTAGTATTACTGTTACTGTGATATAACACCATAACCAAAACCAACTTGGGTAAAAAATAGTTTGTTTGGCTCGTATTTCCATATCATAGTCTGTCACTGAGGTGATGCAGTCAGGACAGGAACGGAAAATGAGCAGGAACCTGGAGACAGGAGCTGTTGTATAAGCCATGGAGAGGTGCTACTTACTTGCTTTTTCATCATGGCTCAACCTGCTTTCTTATAGAACCTAGAACTACCAGCCAAGGATTGCAACACCCAAAATAGACTTGGCTTGTTCCCATCAGTTACTATTTAAGAAAATGCTCTCCCATCTGAAAATTATAAAATCTGTTTTTCTTTCAATTGTGGTACCCTCTTTTTAGGAGGCTGTAGATGACATAAGAATAGCCAGGACACTGATAATTCATAAAAACAGTACCTTGCATCTTTGTATATGGTAAACTTTGATGAATATGAAAATTCATAAATTATCATCATAGCTTTGACCAGTATGCAATGCCAGGTCATCTGAATTTTGCTAAATTACATTAGTTTCCAATTAACTTTAGATAACTGTATGCATTTACCTTTTGTTTCTCTGAATGATATGTATTATCTATATGAAATTCTAACACTCTTTAACATAGGAGTTCCTTTTAAAAATAATATGAAAAAAACTATACTTAACAAAGGTTCAATGTAGGTGTGCTTTACAACCATATAGTCTAATTTCTTTCATATAAGGAAATAGTTATGACTTAGGGGTGAAGTTCCCTCTCTTGTTTTTTTCCCCTTTTCTTAGTCCTGATTATCTGGTTTTTATAGTATATGCTTTTAGTTTCTCATTTATAAGGTCAGCTCAATAGAATGGAAGAGTAATAGTGCCACTGATTACACACTGAATAGACTAAACTATTTTTGGAATGATTTGATTACTTTCTCTTATGACTACAAATTAGAAAACGCTTCATTTTCTTTTGTTAGTTTTCAGCATCCTATGAATTTCTTCATTCTTATCACATCAGATAGTTATATCAGACATTAGCTACAATTTATTATTGTACAGTAATATATATATATATATATATATATATATTCTACACTATTCCAACTATCATGGTGATAAAACCCATAAGGGCATCTGTTTTCCTTCTTTGCTTTTTTATATGGTCTGGTATTGATTAGAATTTTAGTAAGCTCAGTTAGAACTCACCTGTGTGTCTTTTTAAAAATTTTTTTATACTCCAAATTTTAAAACCCCCTGGCCCACCCTCCAACTGTTCCACATCCCACACCTCCTCCCCAGCTCCTGTCTCCATGAGGAAGTCTGTCTTAAATAGTTACCTCATACACTAAACTTATTTAGGCCAAGTGTTTGTTGTTTAATATGTTTGGTTTGTCTGAAAAACCCTTCACAGGAATCAATACTCATTAAATTTATTATAAAAACAAGTCATCTTAATGAAAACGATTGCATATAAAGTCTAATTCTTCAAATATTTGAGCTGTGCCATGTAGACACATAGGGCAGGGAATGCCATCGGGAAGTCTTTAGGCACTATATTTGTGTACTGGAAGTCTTTAGACACTATATTTGTGTAAGTCCATATCCTATGGATTTGAGGCTTCCTGGTTTCCAATGAGCATTCAACACCCAGCTAATGGGGCATATGATATACATCCTAAGGTCTGAACATTTCACAACTTAGTTAACTCTTCTGTTCATGAGGTATGCTTTATACTTTTGGAACACTACAAGATTTGAGGAGGATAAAGAAAATGTATAGCTTTAGCCTTTATGTCATTGATTCTCAGAACCTGGTCAAAATAATAATGTATAAAGAATAATACCTTGGAGACCTGTGATAGAGGCTTTAGGGAAAAGGGCTTTTTTACCTTAGGTACATTTTTTGATACCTGGGTTGTTCTTGGACATAATATTGTGCCATCTGTGGCAAACATTTATATTCAATTTATAAGACATGTTTACTCTTTTTGTGTGTCAGAACATCGCCATCAAACTAAATCTGGTGAAAAGATACACCGAGTTCTGTCCTTAGTGTGCCCTGGATCTGGACCTGGCCTTCTGCTTTGTTTTCATAAATTCCCAGATATAATACATAGTACATACCAGGAAACTATGTTTAAACTGATCTGTCCTGAGAAAGTTCTGGGAAAGACTTATTTAGTTCTTTATTTAATATATAGAATACTTAGTATGTGATTATTGATGTTTATTTCCATGAGTTTCTGATCGTGTTTTTCTGAAGTCAAGCAACCTTCCTTTGATCATTGCTTTCTTTGTTTCACCCATGTATAAGCATACATTGAAACTTAAGTAAACTTGTCTATAGCATTAGACTGTAGTCTGCCCTATTCTTTGAAATCTTCAAATCCCAAACCTAGCAAATAAATATGCATAAGTCGAGGAGAGTCAACTTTTATTTGTTTATTTGTTTTGTTTTCTTTTAGCTTCTTTATTTTCATTTTAAAAACAAACATTGTAACTACTACAGTGATTAAGGTCATGCTTCCCAATTTAGAAGGATAGATATCAGAGTCTCATCCAGTTGAAAAGTGAAAATAAAATCCTAGTCCTTTGACTTAGTTTTGGGTACTTAAGCTATGGAAAGCTGATTCACACAGCCAACTAGCCAGGAGGAAATCAAGTCAATATAAACTATGTGTCTGATATTTTAAACATTGTTAATTTATAAAATGATGGAAACACAAATTTGTGTATTGTAAAAGTTGTCTAACCCCAAAGTCCTTATTTATACTATCTTTCTCAATGATCTTTATTCAGACAAAGATTGAGGGTTCTTAACATGAAAATAGAATTTAAACCAATTACAAAGTAGACTAGGAAGCTTTATTTTGTCTACTAGCAAATTCTATAAAATGGTAAACATAATGCAATTTTGTGTTTTTAAATCTTCATTAAACCTATGTAAACCATTGATGTGAGCCAAAATCCACTGTTCAGTTTGTTTTGTTTTGACTGCACTTGTGATGAATACATTACTTTTGTTAGGAGATGAGTCTGAATATGCTGTTTTTTTTAGAAAGAGTTGCATGGTACATTAATAAAGATTACTTGTAACTATTCATTACACTTTAATAGAAGTACTCATTTTTTAAGGTATTGCCTGAATTTTTCACAGATTACATAAAGGCATCCCTGTGCTTTTTGTTGCAAGCAGAGATTTGTGTTGTATTCAGAGGTATTCTGAATGACTACATTACCTACACTAGAAAATTGGATGATTCAGGAAATCTAAATTTCAAATAACATTTATCTTCTTGGTTTATCATTGTTGTTGTTTCAGTCAAACTGTATAGAATTGTTCCACCTTACCAATAAGTAGAATGACTATTAGCACATAATAACTATGGGAAGCAAGGAGTTTTTCATCAGTCAAGAATACTTTCATTTAGTTCAAGGTAAGTTTTTGTATAGATAGTCACTCATATAGAATCTCAAGGTCAAAGAAGGTATGCGAGCAGATTATCTGATGTTTATGTTCTTGTTATGCATTTTTGTATGGAAGGCTTGAATTTTACAAAGAATATGATTTACTCATGATAAAAAAATTTTGTTCTCTCTTGTCATTGCTGGGACAATGTCTTGTGTTTGTTTATGTTTTTTTAAGATTAAATGGAATCTCTTCTTATTATAACCATCATCATATCATCAACACCACAAACAACAAATTCATCATTGTAATCTACTTTTCCTATTTAGAATCATACAGCAAAGGTCTGATATTTGTTCTACCTCCTAACATGTAATTCATATCTCTGTGGTACAAATATACTACTGAGGTTTATCTAAGCCTCTAAATCCCTCTTGATGTCATGTCCAAATTTGTATCCTAACAGTTTCTCAGGGTTTTTGCTTTGGCTCTTATATCAGAACAAAATCATGTCAGTGGTCACTACAGAAAATAAAAAGCAAACTGCCAACTTCTTTGCTGCAAATGACACGTCAAATGTGACTCCTACAACTCTGCTAAGGCATACTTCCTCTGCCATACAGGTCTCTGCTATTGGACATTCCTGTACCTATGCCTACACTCCATGATCTTTTGATAGCTCTCTGATACACAGCTCTGTATGTGTAATTGGACAAACTATTGCAGAATCACCTATATAGGCTTAAAGTTTGCTTTTTAGAAATACATTATCCCCTATGGCCATGATCATTGTCCTTTTAGACATTTAAATAGCACATATTTAGAGAACTGGAAGAGGTAGGAAACTCTTGAGTTCCTGGAGACAATCTGAAGTAGAATTTCTAAATTTGGAAAAGGTTTCTTTTGTTGATTTTGTTTTTTTTAGAAACATATGGTTTTTTTTTAATTTTTCAAAACAATCTTTCAAGAGCAGTGGGATAACTGCCTGTCTAAATCCAGGAACTGTTAATAGAATTCATATCTTGACTCCTTTACACTTTCTCTCCTAGCATTAAAGAATAGGGTGTTTTCAAATTTCCAGAGTCATTCTTATTTCCATATTCAGGCAAGGTAGATAAATAACACCCCAAACACATGCACAGACACACACACACACACACACACACATACACACACACACATGCACAAGCAAGTGCACATAGCAGTGCCTTTTCAAGTATCTGAAAATACCCCAAACCTTAAAAGCACATAGCTTTTAAGGCAGCACTTCTCTCTGGAGTCCTATATGTTGCTGCTGCTCCAGTGGTTATATCCTTCCTGCAAGAAGCCCATTGTAACACCTGACAGCTATCAGGAAATACTCTGACAATTAAGTATACTAAGTGTCTATTCTATAAACTTTAAAGTCAACTACATATCTGTATCTGTATCTGTATCTGTATCTCTATCTATCTATCTATCTATCTATCTATCTATCTATCTATCTATCTATCTATTA